CCGTTCCTTCTTCACATTACATAAATAATTTAAAATTTCCTTTATAATCATTTTCACAAATTTCAGTCGAATTGCAATTTGTAGGAATGTTTTTTCGATATCTATGAGATAACCGATTCACATCTATGTTGGATTCTTGAATTGCACTTCTGACAGGTTACTAAATATCTTTATTAGGCCATACAAAATTGATTTTTTTGGTTCTCATAACATGAAATAAAAAAAATGACCCGGCAGGCCGGGTAAAAAATTTTATATGTAAAAAATTTTTAACATAAAGCCATACAAAATAATTTTTTTTGGTTTTCATAACATAAAATTTTAAAACAGACCGGCAACCCGTCTTTTTTTTTCAACTTTTATATATAGTGATGATTACATCAGCTACATTTTTTTGTGGGCGATGCTATTTTTTTACATATTGTTATACAGTATAATTATGAGCTTTAAAATCTTTATTAGCACATTTTTTACTTAACCTTTTTTAACGTAAACGTAAATCTAGGTAAAATCCCAGTGAATATTCTACAGGTGATTTATATAATAAAATAGATTATTACTTTATTAATAACAAATTTCATACATATTACGTAAAACGCTCATTCTTATTCGACTAATTACTAAATTGAGAATAATAAAATAAAAATAAAATCGAATGGAAGATATGAGAAATACGTAGACTTCAAAATATTTAGTTGAAACAAATATCTGAATTGTTAATATAATTTTTAAAAAAGTTTTATCAAATAAAGTGTTGATTATGATTTGTTAAAATGAATCTTTGTTTTACATAACTTGTCGCAATTTGCGGGAACAAAGAATTATTGTTACAAAAAATGCCGGATATTTCACACAATCACGTATTAATTAATAACTAATATGTGATGCAACAGTAGGGGTGTTAAATGCTCGGATTAGCCGAGTTTAACTCCATGATAATTAAACTGATACGTATGGAAAGAGCTGCTTATTCTAAAATAAAAGATTTTATGTATTAAGATAAGGAGACTTTGACCCAAATCCAAACCTATGAAAAAAAAACAGCATATAACGTTGATCTATACTGTTAATCGAAAGTGGGACATAACTTATATTTAGGGTTTGGCCATTATTAAAACTAAAGTAGGAATCCCGATTCCCAAACTTAGTAGTGATGTCAGAATTCAAAAAAAAAGGGTTGGGTCAACCATATGGTAAGAATCGGGACATACCAACCGGTACATACCAGACAGGACTGATGCACCCCTATAATCAAATTGATTCTTTTGATAGCATAACAAGTTATACTTGGGCCGAAGGTATTTAAACTTCACTTTGTAGTACAAAGCATTTAGTCAGGTCAAAGGATTATTCAGTTCGAAGGATTATTTAGGTCAAATTCACGTCAAAAAATTACTCAGATTGAAAAGTAATAGTTATATTATTCAGGTTGAAAGTTTAAGGTAATAATTAAATTTTCACCGGTTTAATTGACCTTAATTTATT